AAAAAAAAAAAAAAAAGTAAAAGACAAAATATCAGAAAAACAACAACTGTAGTGAAAACCAACTCGCCGAAGTTGAACTCCGACACACAGAAGAGAGAAGGAATAGAATTTAAACTAAAAATGTATATATCCTTACTTACCTTAATTAAATGGCAATAAACATGGGAAATACCACAACAGAAAGTCTCCCTGGATGCAAAATGTACTGACTGCCTTTGGCGCAAGCTTACAACTAGGGCACTGGAGATATCCGCAGATCCTGAGTGTGATAAAACGGGAAACTGTCCCAGGAGTCAGTTCAATGACCTCTTATAAGACTTAAGTGCTTCTTGAAAGTATTATGAATCAACTGCCCTAATTAAACTGCTTCATTTAAATCTACTTTGGATTTTATTCTAACATGTCAAATTAGTATAATTTACAGTGTAGAGCCATATATCATTTTAAAGTTGATTCCATATCCAGCTGATAATTGATCATTGTGAGTCTAAGATAGTGAAACTGGTGTTTTTGTGGAGCATAAAAAACCAATGTTAGTACCTCACAGTCACTCAGTCACTTAGTCACTTTTTCTTTTCTTTTTTTTTTTTTTTTGAGACAGAGTCTCACTCTGTTGCCCAGGCTGGAGTGCAGTGGCACAATCTGAGCTCACTGCAACCTCTGTCTCCCAGATTCAAGCGATTCTCCTATCTCAGCCTCCCAAGTAGCTAGGACTACAGACGCACGCAACCACACTGGCTAAATCTTGTATTTTTAGTAGAGATGAGGTTTCACCGTGTTGGTGAGGCTGGTCTTGAACTCCTGACCTCAGGTGATCAGCCTGCCTCAGCCTCTCAAAGTGCTGGGATCACAGGAGAGACCCACCATGCTCGGCCCCCTCAGTCACTTTCAAGACTGCAGAAGGGTCAAAATGTCAAACCTCCAGATGCTGATGACAGTGTGGATGTCAAGGAATGCCTAGAAGATGGGTCAGCCACCCAAATCACCACCTGTGTCACCAAAAGCAATTCCAGAGGTGAGCAATAATAGAATTCACTTGTAGAAGTAACAGAAAGTTTCTCAATCTTGTGTAAGTTTTGCAAAAGTGTTTACTATTTACTATTTTGTATTGATACGTAACTTATACTTTAAGTAAAAACATCATGCTTGTAGTTGGGTTCCATGGAGTCTTCCCTCTGGGAGGCTGAGGCAGGAAGATCGCTTGAGGCCAGGAGTTTGAAGCTGCAGTGAGCTATAATGCTCCTGTGAATAGCCACTGCGCTTAAGCCTGGGTAACATAGTGAGTCCTCATCTCTTAAATTAAATGCATTTATATGCTTGATGTGGAAAGATAGTTTCCAGGCAATTCCTTTGGGATGGCCTTCTGAGTCGGACTGTTACTCCCAAGCTGTCTCACATGACAATTCTGAAGGCCATAGTCCCTATATTACTAGGAATGCGGTGATCTCAGATTGAAGGAGTTTGGGCAGGTTATCCCTAATGTGGTTAGGCAGCTAAAAATGATTTGTTCATAGTCAAGTTATCTGTCAGCGAAGAAGCATTTTACCTTACTCCATGAGGGGAGACTATCTTTTGCAACTGTGTTCTGGCGCATGATCCCCAACAATTTTGGCACCAGAAACTCGTTTTGTGGAAGACAATTTTTCCCCAGATGGATGGGGGAGAGGAATAGTTTCGGGGTGCAACTGTCCCACCTCAGATCACCAGGCATTAGATTCTCAAAAGAAGCATGCAACCTAGATCCCAGATCCCTCACATGTGCAATTCACAACAGGGTTTGTGCTCCTAGGAGAATCTTAAGCCCCTGCTGGTTGACAGGAGGAAGAGCTTAGGCAGTAATGCTCCTTCACCACTGCTTACCTCCTGCTGTGCGGCCAGTTCCCAACAGGCCACCGAGGGTACCAGTCCATGGCCCAGGGGTTACAACCCCCTGTCCTGCAGAACATGTCTTTCATTATCTCTTCAACATGTGTACTGGAGTTGACAG